GTAATTAAAATCAAGGCACATCTTATCAATGTTTCTGGGACTGTGGCAGACTCTCACTCTTTTTTTTGGCAGAGCACAGGGTTCAGGCCTGTGATTTCTTCTTCAAAGCACTGCAGTGTGAAATACCTGTTCACCCATTTATTTGTCTCCCACTCTATTACCGTCAGCTGAGGTGGCTGGATAAAACAATTCAGTAGCTTCTGTCATAGGCTTTATTTCTAGCTTTGGCTGCTCTAGCAAGGGTCTCGGAAAATCTGCCCTGGCGATGGGTTTTCTTCCACTTCATTTTCAGTGTGTCCAAGGTAAACAAGGACTGAGCATTAGATGGAGAGTATGGCAGTAGATGTCAGAAAACCAGCTTTTTCAGGTGCTCTGCGTGCGGGAGTGCAAGCTCCATCCATTTCACATATTCATAATTTAAACAGTAATTAGAAATTCTAAATAATCACTCCCTGGGCACTAGCTAATCTTCATTAAACATCTAAATACCAGCGACTAAAACTGGGTCAGCTCCTCAGTGGCCCCCAGCGGGAGGAAAGAGCCGTGCCGGGCTTCAGGGGCGCAGGATCTGGCCTCGCTGGCTCAGAGAGGGTTTGCTGCGTGCCGAGAGCGGCGCACAGAGGGCCCCGTCCTGCGCGGCAGCCGGAGAGCTCCTTCGGCAGCCGGGGAGCCGTGCTGTCCCCCAGAGAACAAATCCTGCTTTGGCAGCTCCAGCCCTCTTCCCGTCTCTGGGTCCCTGCTCCCCTGCCCACTAAGAGCTTCCTGGGTTTTCTTGCCCACTCCACCCCCAGTGCCCCCAGGTTTTCCTTCCACTTCCAAGTCCCATGTCCCATTCTGTTCTCCCTGCAAGTGCTTCTCTCACGAGCCCTCCCCGTCTCATCTTTAGACCCTTCCTTTTTTAATTTCTTTTTTCCCTGGAAGCCACAAAACTGTTTTGTTTCAGAGCTGGGGGCAGCATCATCTTTGCTCTCCCCAGACAGTGCCTCAGCCCTCGCTGCTGGCAAGGTTGAGGAGAGCCACAGAGCTCCTGTTCTGCAGTTCTGATGCAGACAAAACCCAGTGGAAGCCAGATGTGGGTTTCATAACCTGTATGCAACATGCCTCCTGCCCCTTACACCTCTGCTGATGAAGAAGGGCTTGTCCGGAATGTCTTTTGCTCCACGCAACTAAACCATGCATATAGCCAAGGAGCTTCACCCTTAACAACCATGAAAAGGAAACTCGGAGCGGTGGGGACACACCTTCAGAGGAACTGCAGAACATTGAGACATGCAGAAAAAAACCTTGGGTCCACAGCATGGGACCCCGCCTGTGGGCAGAGGTCCTGTCTGATGGGCTGGCTGGGGCTTT